GTTTGCCAGGTTCGAGCGATGTAACACAGGATCTTTTCAGTCCACTAAATAGTATGAACTGAATATGAATGTCCTTAAGCAGTGACTAAGGTATGGTTCTTCATTAGTCTATACACAGACGTTTTACCAGATTCAGTGCATCTTGAACTTGTAACCTGGTTTTATTGATTCTGGCCGCTTCAAACAGAGCCTTCATATCCAGTGTGTGAAATCCTAGCAGGTGTAACAGTATTTAACCATCACCAGTTCTCTTCTGATGAAGTCCACACCGGCCCGGTTCCTTTGCTCCGTCCACACAGCCGTCATCAGCAGAAAACACCCTCTCTGATGTGTTGGTTGGTTATTAATGGGACACATGCTAGACTTTTATTTATAGACTTTTCTTCGGCTTTTAATACAATTCAACCCCACATTTTAGCCGTCGCATGAACAAAGCTACTCTAATAAAAGGCCAGACTATTGAGTACATGCAATCTTATAAATAACTTGGGACTATTATTGATGATAAATTAAAATGTGAAGCTAATTGTGCAGCTGTGCCAACTCCGTTCTCATGATCGAGGAGTCCTGCTGTTGTTTTTATTGATATCATGTGAGTGTGAGCACTAAAACTACATATTATAACACAATCAGGTCTGTTTTGACCTAGAAAAGATCCATCAAAATTTCTGATTTTTTACAATTATTTTTAAGAGATTAAAGCAATAAGCCCCAAGCATCGTGCCTAAAACCCCTCAGCTGTTATAAATTCACGGCTTCACGGGGATCACTGCTTTTATAAAACGGTTATATACGTAGTACGGTTTCACAAAATAAAGCAGAGCAAATAAAGTGTAATGATATTAATAAACACAGTATTCTTCCACCAAACAATGTAGCTCCTCAGAAACAGTTGTGGTTGCAACAAAGTGGTTGCCGAGCAACACACAAACGTAAACAAAGGTGTGTAGAGTAATTAGCCTTTTTCACAAAAATTGGAAATTATGTCAGCGCAGGGTAAAGTTAGTTCCGTTACAGGTCTGCGCCCATAGATATGTATATATATATATATACAGTGGGGAAAAAAAGTATTTAGTC